AGAGAGAGAGAGAGAGAGAGAGAGAGAGAGAGAGAGAGAGAGAGAGAGAGAGAGAGAGAGAGAGAGAGAGAGAGAGAGAGAGAGAGAGCTGTTGCTCTCTGCTGCGGGCAAAGCCACAGCTGGCACTGCTTGTTTTTGTAATAAACAAAACGTTGTCTTGTGAGCCCCCCCCCCGATTTCAGAGCTCCTTTTCCTGTTCGTCTTTGGAAATGCTTCCTGCACCCAATAAACTGTGTGAGATGGAAACAAACAGTGGTCCCATTGACTCATCAATTTGTGCCCCTCCCTCCCTCCCCTTCCCCGCCACCCCCCCCCAAAAAAAAGAACGTCTTCCAAACATTCTGATGTCAGGATTAAAAGAACGGGAAAAATGGAGCAAGCGAAGATGGGGCAAAGGCGAGGAAGTGCGGACGAAGGGAGACGAAGACAACCTGGAGGTGGCAGACGTAAAGCAGCAACAGAAGGTAAACGGCAAAGATAATGGAAGAGGGGTAAATGAAGAGAGGTAAAAAAAAAAGAAGAAAGAAAAGAGGATGAGAGAGTGAAGAAGAAGAGGAGAATGAAGAGAAGGAGAAAAAGATTAGCAGCAATGCCGCAATAGCAACAGGAAAAGAGCAACAAAAACAATGAGCAGCAGCAGCAACAAGAAAAGAGCAACAACAAAGATAAGGGGGAGGGAGAGGAGGGAGAGGAGTTAGGACAGGAGAAGAGGAAGAGGAGGTAGGAGAGGAGAAGCTGAAGAGGAGGTAGGAGAGGAGAAGAGGAAGAGGAGAAAGAGAAGCATTGGACGAAGAAGAATAAAGATAGTGATGAGAAATTACGGGGAAGAGGAGGCAGTGGAAGGAAGAAAACAAGACCAGCACCTGCAACAGGAAAAAGAAAAAAGAGAGAGAAGGAAAAAGAAAAAAAAGGAGGAAAGAGGAGGAAGAGGAGGAAGAGGAAGGCGGCGGAAGGAAGAAAGTCTAGGAGGGTGGAAGGAATATGAATATGAAGAACAAAGATTCTCTGTGGCTTTCTCATTCTTCTAAGAAGACAATTTCAGACTCGTCCAGGTCCGCGTCTAATCTAATGTGCCGGAATCAGCGTCAGCGACAATGTGCTATTGAATCATGGATCTGATGGCCTCAATTCCATGACATCATAGCTGAACGTCCTACATTGACGATTGTCTGTGGCATTCACATTCACAAAACTAATGAACTCCACTTCACAAGCGAAAAACCCGAAAGCTAGTCCGCGCCGACTCAGCTCAGCGGCACTTCTGGTTGGCAACACACAAAAAAAAGCAGACATTTCCTCCAACACGACCCCACCGTTGCTCCCAGAATCAACTCCCTCCTCCCCCTTCTCTTTCTCTCTCTCTCTCTCTCTCTCTCTCTTTCTCTCTCTCTCGCACACACTTGCTCTCCAAGTTTCCACAATTTCAACAGTGTCTTGTCCTTGAACAATGCAAATGATGATGGATGGAAGGAAAAGGGGTTATGTCTGCAGGCGTGAAAAATTATCGGAGTCGTCAACACACCAATTATTGGACCCGTCAAGGGACCAATAATCCTATATTTGCGATCAATTTCATTCGAACCAAATGCGATCAACTTCATTCGAACCAAATGGGACTCCGAATCATGGACCAAGGGGTCCACGAAACGTCCGCTTGGTGCACCAACTGGTCGATTGCAGGTAGTCGACGGACATTCCTAGTCGAACCAGGTCATGCGTGGACCACCACGTGGTCCACGATTAACCCTTGGGTGCCCTCAGTTCAATCTCAACTCACTCTTGGTCAACCCACAGGTAACCCTTGGTCCTCCTTGGTCCAACTGATGGTCCAGGAACATTCATAGTTCTTAATAATCGAACCAGGTGGTACACACACAGACACCTAATGTCCTCTTGATGGATCGGCAGACGCGTGCTCTTGATTCTTGATGGATCTGATGGGCCCGATTCGACGAGAAACAATCATGGATCTGATGGGCCCAATTTAAGGAGACGTGAGGAACGCAAAGAAGAACAATCACAACCAAACAACATGGTCCACATTCACTTTCATCTGTTGCTGGATCCGATAAAGTGGTCCCCACATGGTTCGGCCACGCTATGCGCATCCACAAAGTGGTCCCCACCTGGATCGTTCGACTTCGCCAATGCCAGCGCAATGGACCGAACTTCGAAATTGACGTCGGCGACATAATCCGTTCATGGATTCAGCAACAATGCCCTGTCATATCATAGCCAAACAAAGTGGTCCCCACTAACGATCACCTGGGTAACAACAGGGGGCTCCACAAAGAGTCTTCATTGAACCAGGTGGTCCACAGAGTGGTCCCCACTAACCATCGCCTGGGTTGAACCATGTGGTCCAGAAATAGTCCTCGTTGAACCAGGTGGTGTGGTCCACAAAGTGGTTCTCACGACCATGCCCTGGGCTGAACCAGGCAACCCCAGAAATAGTCCTTGCTGAACAGGTGGTCCACGAAGTGGTCCCCACAGACCTCCCCTGTGTTGAACCAGATGGTCCACAGATAGTCCTTGATGAAGCAGGTGGACCACAAAGTCAAGGTGGTCCCCACAGACCATCCCTTGGGTTGAACCAGGTAGTCCACACATAGCACTCGTTCCACCATCCCTTGGGTTGAACCAGGTAGTCCACACATAGCACTCGTTCCACCAGGTGATCCCAAAGACCATCCCCTAGGTTCAACCAGGTGGTCCACAAAATAGTCCTCATCGAACCAGGAGGTTCACAAACAGTCCTCGTTTACCCACGTTTGTTCCCGTACGGAGCATGCCTCGAGTTTTACAGTGTAGTCCACGCGTAGCCCTCGTTGAACCAGGTCGTCCACAAAGTGGTCCCCACAGACCACATCCCCTGGGTTGAACCAGGCGGTTGCCGAGCAGTCCTCATTCACCGAAGTTTGTCCCCGCATGGAGTGCATGCCTTGAGTTCACCAGGTCGTCCACGCGTAGCGCCCTCGTTGAACCAGGTCGTCCACAAAGTGGTCCCCACAGACCATATCCCCTGAGTTAAACCAGGTGGTCCACGCATAGCGCCCTCGTTTCGTCCACAAAGTGGTCCCCACTAATCATTCTCGTTAAACAAGGTCTTCTCCACGTACGTCTTGCTTCAATGGGCACATCCACAAACAACCAGTGGCTAGAACTCTACTTCATTGACCCTTCATCGCACGAGTTGTAGTGCCTCTTCCACAAAAAGAGTCTTCATCCCCGACTTCAACGACCATATCACACATCTGAGCCATCTGCCACTCGTGTTACGGACTAAACCCTTTGCTAATAGGAATTGAAAATGGACTGAACCGAGCCGAACTGAAACGAAACCGAGGCCTGCTGGGACTGAATTCATCGAATATTCTCTTGTGTGCAGAACTGGGGGGACGAACAGAACAGACAGTATGCACAGACATGACTACAACTAGCTAGTAAACCCAGGGGTTTGAACCTACGACTAGAGCCACCGGACCATGGTAAAACATCTAGGGCTGGACGCTAAGGGACTTAAACCCATAACCTCTCGTCCTTGCAAAACAGCTATATATCATCCAGGCAAGGAAACTACCAAAATGAAAATATCAAAAACGTCCGGAGCGGGAGTCAAAGAAAAAAAGGAAGAAGAAATCAAAGTGAATGGAAAACGCAGAAAAACAAAAGAAACAAAACCAAACCTAACATCAGATTCTCTCTCTCTCTCTCTCTCTCTCTCTCTCTCTCTCTCTCTCTCTCACACACACACACACACACACACACACACACACACACACATGCATCTGTGCATGCAGGGGACCCTTCCCCCCTATATCTGCCTGTGTATGTCGTCTAGCTCTCGTAACTGGAAACAGCAGTAGGCATGGTCCATGTGCTTGTGTTCAGTGTTCTAGCAAAAAGCACCTCTTGCCGCTCCTCCTTCGATTTGCGTCTCACATCCTGCCGCGCGTTTCCGGTACACATGATAACCCTCCCTCGGCATGTCTCGCTTGCTTCTCCGTCATCAGGTGTGTGAGCCGCCCATGTGCAGGGACCACACTCGCCGCCTCGCACCCTGTGAACCAAAATGGGTGTACTGTGGTATCATCTCTTTGCTTATTTCTTGATACCCGAGGGCGTTTTCAAATATGTGCTTTAACGTTGGAAAACAATATTTCAAATTCGATTATAGGGCCTCGTTCCACTACTCAACATCCGACATGCATCTGTACAGCATAAAGCACAGATACATTTAAACTGATCGAATGTTTCGAAAGTACGCGATGAGGTCCGGACAGATTCATTCCGAATCTTGTCTAGCGGAGCGAGGCCCATAGTGAGCGAAAGCGTTGGCGTGGGAACGCACAAGAACAATCCATGAGCTGTGCTCGTGTCGCCACCGGGGACTCGGGTGCAGGTCTCGCAATGTCTTGTAATTCGTATCGCTACGCCGCCCTCCAGGGATGCACACCGGGATTTGAAGTTTGAACCTACGACTAGGGCCTGTTGGGCTTTAAAACAGTCAAAGGCGTCAGAGCACTGCAAGCGCTTATTATCAGAAACATACAGACATCACACTGACATGCTCTGAAGACATGACGGAACGGAGGCTCTGGTAGGCTCCGGTTGGGCTCCAGTGGGGTTCCGCCGGGCTCCGCGGCATGAGTCAACAATCGCTCAACTCCACTCTACTAAACTTCGCCCCGGCTTCGAGGGTTTTAAACCAAACGCAGCGCCTCCAGGCACAGGTGTACTGGTGGTCGACCAATCGTAGTGGGACTTAATTCCAGTGGTGGCCAACCTCGCAGATTTGATTGCGGCGGACTTAACTCAATGATAAATTTAAAATGTACTCTTAACTCCACCAGACTTCAGTTAACTCAAAACTTACTTCAGTGGGGACTCTAACTCATTGGGCTTAACCCCAAAAAAGGCCCCGGCAGACAGCTCATCAGTGGAAGCTGCAACTCTTTTGGACTTAACTCCAGGTGAGACCCGGTGAACTTAACTGCAGTTAAATCCATCGGACGTAAACTTCAGTGAACTGGAGCATTGTGCAGCGGTAACTTCAACCACCTCATTTTGGAATTAACT